TGTACCACACAATAAGGTAATAAGAGGAGAAAACAATACCTGATTTGTCTTATTTGTATTATGTCAAGAACATGGAGTCTGACTGATATCAGAAAAGGATAGCCTCCAATCACAATTTTTCCACAGAACGGATGAACAACCCTACACGGGCTGTTGCATTTCATCCATTCTAAAATACACATTTGTTTCACTTTTTAACACTTCAATCACTGGTCTTAGCATTACTACAGCAAGCATTTTATCTTTCTTGGTAATATCTAAAATAGCTTGTGTCTTAAAAGTGATGGCATCTTATATTCAATGAAATACAGCTCTTCACCTGTTGGAGCTTCAGTTTCCTCATCTAGAATATAGAGCTGAAAAATCGAACTGTCATGAGGATTAAGGGAGGTAAAACAGTGTACAGCAACAATCCCAGCTCCAGGCACAGAACAGGTGCCCAGAGTTCCTTGGGTTCCCCAGGGGGAGTCCCGTCAGGATTCTCTCTCTTCCCTCTCTCTCTGCCCCTCCCCCCCATGTGCACGCTCTCTGGGGAAGTGGTGAATGGGGGCATGGACCATGGAACCCATCATCTGACCCTTCTACTTTCTCCCAGTGAATCAGCTCCTTAAATCTGCACCCTCCTTTCTAATCCAGCTTAAAATGCATGGCCCATCACTTCAACTGTTTCACTTCAGTGATCCTCCACTCTCTTGTCCCTTGGTCCTTCTGCTTCAACCATGGGGTAAACCCCTGCAATATAGAGCTGTGGATTGTCCTGCAGGAAAAAATTCCTGCAAAAGGAATTGCTGGGTCAACATGCAAAAAAGGTTTACCCTTTTTAACTTACTGGATGACTGTGGGGAAAGAGCTCTCACCCATTGTTGGTGGGAGTGGAAATCAGTACTGAACATTTTAAATCTGCATTTGACAATGCCATATGCTTTGGATGAAAATTTTTACTCTCAGGAATTTATCCTATGGAAAATCTTAAACAAGTTCTAAAAATATATGCACAATCACCATGATTGTACCATTGTTTCAAATAGGAAATTCTTGTAACAAGTTTTGCTGTAAGATAAATTCCTCAGGGCAGAATGGCTGGATCAAGGCTTCTCAGATATAAAATATTTAATTTGGGGCGCCTGGGTGGCTCAGTCAGTTAGGCATAGGACTCTTGATTTCAACTCAGGTCATGATCTCAGGGTTGTGAGATCGAGCCCCAAGTTGGGCTCCGTGCTCAGCAGGGAGTCTCCTCAGGATTCTCTCTCTTCCCTCTCCCTCTGCCCCTCCCCCCACGTGTATGCTCTCTCTCACTCTCTCTCTCTCAAATAAATAAATCTTAAAAAATATTTAATTAAAAAGAAGAAAGTAAGAATCACTTGAAAAAAATAACAATTACCATTAGTTCTTCTACCACTAGTCAGAAACAACCGTCTCTTTATTTTCTATTACTATTATGTATAATATTCAAGGAAATAGTTACTGAGGGAGAGTGCCTTTTCAAGATCAATATTATCACTACATTTAAAGATATGCAAACTGAGGTTCAGAGGGGTGAAGAAACTTGCAGGAGTAAGTAACAGAGTTGGAATGGGATCCCAGGTACACTTCAGAATAAAACACAGCACGTTAATCTATATTTTGATATTCCATCAAATTACTTCAATAACCCTGTGAAGAAAGGGTTACTTTCCTCCTTTTCAGAATGAGGAAACTGAAGCACAGAGGGGTTAAGTATCTTACCTATGGGTCACCCCTTAGTAATGTGCAGAACTCAGATAAGAACACAAAGTGCGTATGACCACAAAGCCTTTTTATCTTTTCAACTCATCACACTGCCTTGTGTTCTTTAACTATAAAAGCATTCATGAGCTTTGTTTCTGACTATGAAAGTAACTCATGTTCATTTTGGATATTATCAAAAGCACAGGCAACTATATAAAGATACAAATAACCTCCAATCTCACTCTCATTGATAAATAGTGTTCATGGTTTGCAACATCCCCTTGCAGTCAGAAACATCCACATATATGCACATTCATGTCAGCTACACATACCTTTTATGTGACTAGAGTCACATCGGATGGATATATGGTATTGTGTGCTAATTTTTTAACCTTCACATTATATCATTTGGCGTGAGGATAAGATCTCCATTTCCTTTGCAGAAATTTACCAATGATCCAGCACCAATTCTTACTGACTATGAATTCTCAAGCAATTTATCAAATACTCAATGTTTCCATGCACTTGGTTCTACTGATTATTTTTCTATCCTGTCTCATTAACATATATGTCAATTCTTGCACCAGGATTGGACTGTTTTAATACTGCATCTTTGTAGAACCTTGTCATCCAAGGTAATACTCTACATCTCTTCCCAAGCACAAGCCCTTTATCCTTCTTCTGATTGGCTTGAGAAAGCTAATAATAAAGGAACATAAAGATAACATTTATTGAGCCCTTAGTGCCAGACACTTCACTAAATGTTTTACATGTGTTTTTTCTTTTAATTTTCATTACAACTCAATTTGTAGGTTATTGCTGTTATAACAACCATTTGAAAGATTTTTTTAATGGGGCTCAAATAAATTAAGGAATTTGCCAAAGGTCATGCAACCAGAAAATGGTTGGCCCAAACCTCCAACGTGCGTGTGACTCCATATTAGAGGTGAGGCCAGCACACCGGAAATGACTCATCCAAGGTCCTGAGGTTCATTATCGTGCTTAGTTCGTCTTTACTGTCTCCTCTTTCCAGGGCTCAGGGAACACTGTTTCTTTGGATGTTCAAATAGAAAGTGAAGTAACAGGGACAGGAAATCACATGGAATAAAAGGAAATAGGGCAATGGCTGTCTTCCCTTTCCCCAACTTCCTCAGATAACTCATTCCACAGCACAGAAATGGCACTCAACTTCATACATTATGTATTTAAACATTTCATTTATTCTTGCTACATTTCCAAATAATCTGACAGTTCTGCTCTTTGCTTTATGTCAGTCTCTTTTATGATACAGAAAAGTCAAGGTGGGCAGGACAAACTTCTTTTAAGTTGCATACTATATGCCAAACACTTCCTTAAGTTTTCTCATTTTCCTCACACAATTCTGTGAGAAAGGTATCAAATTCTTCCCATTTTACAGCAGCAGAATTCAGGTTCACAGAGAGTAAATAAATTTTCCAGAGTTATACATAGATCTTGTAAGAGGCAGGAATGGAGGTTCCAGCTCTTGCCCTCTCCCCACAATAGATACAGAGCAGCCTCCCTTCTGGAAGATGGGCTTCTAAGGCTGGAGAAATGGTTGGATCACACTCCCCTGCCCTTGTGGCCCCTTGAGTACTCACTCAACAACCCCTCTGGGTGATGAAGATGACAGAGGAGATGAAATCCCGCCCCTTGTGCCAAGGCACCTGGATATGGGACCAAATCTGTTGGCTGAAACCTGAGGCAGTGAGTGGAGCTTGTACAGAAGCTCGGGCTTTTAAACAACTAGGAAGGTGACCTGGGTGATGAAAATAAACATTCATCAAACTCATTCTATATCATAGTAATTTCATATCTCATTTCATTTAATCCCAAAAACGAACTTTCAGGATAGAGATTACTATCCTCTTCATAACCTAGAGCTCAAGCCAATAGATTCAGGTTAGTAATATTGTAAATTACAGACTAGGAACTCTAAACCTGGACTTGTTCTAAAACCTGACCTTTTCTCTCTGCTTCCTGTGGCCTCATGGGCTTTGAATGCTTTCTCTATCTAACCTTCCAGTAGACTGGCAATTACTCCACCCCAGTGTATTCTTCAAACATTTATAATTAACCATATTGTTTTTTAATAATAAAAATCAGTAAGATTTTAAAACACTTACATTGCAAGAAAATAAAACAAAATATAAAATGGGAAGGAAAATCATTCACATATACTATAGACATTGAGTTAATATTCATGATAAATGAGAAAGTGACCATATGGTTTGACATGCTCCCAATTTATGTCTGTTGTTTAACAGTGCAAACTTCACTCTCAAAAGTGCCCAGTTCAGGGGCGCCTGGGTGGCTCAGTCGTTAAAAGTCTGCCTTCGGCTCAGGTCATGATCCCAGAGTCCTGGGATCGAGTCCCGCATCGGGCTCCCTGCTCCCCAGGAAGCCTGCTTCTCCCTCTCCCACTCCCCCAGCTTGTGTTCCCTCTCTCGCTGTGTCTCTCTCTATCAAATAAATAAATAAAATCTTTAAAAAAAAGTGCCCAGTTCAAACAATAAATTATATGGTCATCCTCAATATAAATAATTCCTTTTGAATAGTAAGAGATGAGTAAAGGGTAACTTGTAATTTTCATAAAAAGCTGTGGAAGTGCCCAACAAATCAATAAAAAGATAACCCAAACACAATAATGAAAGAAATACAAATAAAAATCCTAACATTTCATAAGAAAAAAAAGAAAAGATGTAGATTAGCATGTTGTCCTTTTTCTTTTTGCTGAATAACAGATATGTATAGCTGTATATTTATATTGTGCATATATGTAGTGCATGTATTTGCACAAAAGTACTTATATATGCTAGTACCATTATATTGGGATAAAAACATTTGTAGAATATATTAACACTCCATTAGGAACACTTATCTTAGGAGAGCAAACAGCAGTTTCACCTCTATTTATACATTTCTCTATGATTTGATGTCCTAATGTACATATATATCAATTTTATAACTCAGAAAAGTAACTGAAATACAATTTTTAAAGCACAAGAAACATTTTGTTATGATGTAGCTCATACAGATAATGTTATAGATCTATTCATTTAGAACAGCATTCACTATTAAGCAATAAAAAGCAGATTATACACTATGTACAGTATGATCCTATTTATTGTTGATAATACACTTATGTATACGAGTAAGTACATATCATAAAGCAAATGTGTCTGAAAGATATGACCCAAAATACAAAATATGCACAAACACGCACACACTACACACCCACACACACAGATACACACTCCCTCAGAAACACTCACACTGGCGGCTTTCTCTTCATCTGAGACAGGGGTGGAACTTCCTGTCAAGAGCTCAGAGAACTAAACAGTATCTGATTCTGCAGGAAGGCCTGCCTGTGCCATTCAAGCCTCCAGCAAGCCCTGTTTGGTGGGTCAGAACAGAGGCCCCTCCCTCCCCAAATCCTTGTATAGCCTCCTCCCAGAGATATCGAGAGATGTAGTTCTGACTCTGACCAGCAGGTGGCGATTATCTCAATACACAACCTTTGCTGCAATAGAAAAGCCTTGATTTCTATAAGAAACACTAGTAATCGTTGTACTTTTTAATAACAGATTATGAAACAGTATGTACACTATGATACAAGATATTTGAAAACTTTTGAATGTATAGGAAAAAATTGAAACAGTGTATTCTTTTTATTTGCTGATGACGACTCCCAAATCTGTACTTCTCTTGTTCATTCATTCATTCAGGAAATATTTATTCAGAGGAACATATTTTTAACTGAGCTGTGTTACATTTCTATAAAAAATTTTCTCACAGATAAAGTAGTGACTTGGTGGATTATCTGGCTAAATTTCATGTTTAGCTTCTCCCTTTGCTTTTTGTCTATCTACTTGTCCCATCTTGTCAAGCTGGGTTTTTCATCCACGGGTTTGTGGAAATTTGTGGTCACCTTATTAAAAGGGTTTCCACTGAATATAGCTGACTAAGACCTACAAAACCTTACTGAAGAGTCAGTTTAATGCAACTAAATTGGACAAATATTTGTTGAGATCTAATCATGATCTGAGCATAGTGAATTCTCATAAAAGAAAGGGTTTCTATATAGCCCTTTCTGACATAACACAGTGGTAGATTTCTGGGAGAGATTTGGGCTTACCTCACCGCTAGAAGGGTGACCTATGCAATTTAGAATTCCTGTTGTTCTTTATGCCCAATGTCCTCTCCTAAAAGAGAGCTGTTTTTCTGCTTCAAGTCAGAGTTCCCTTCCCAAGGGCACAGGAAATTCTAGAGGGGAGTGGAGGGAGGTAAAAATAAATAACATTTTACATGCACTTCTTATGTTCCATGTGTTTTCCTGTCTTCTTATTTTACTTTCTAAATGTTAACATTGGAGAATCATTTTTCCTTTGTCCCTTAAAAGGCAAGACACTCATGGCGGGGGGCGGGGAAGCCTTCTTTGGCATGGCTTCTGGAGAGTCCAGCTAAGTTGGGAGAACTTTGGGCGTCCTAACAGACCAAACTCAGTATCTCTGTGACATACTTTGGGTAAATTCCTTCACCTCTTTTGACCTTACTTATCTGAATTCTACTTGCCCTGCTTTTCAATCATCCAGGATTGTGAAGGTTAAAAATGAGCTGTATATTATAATCAAGTGTCCCCAACTGTAGGGAACCACTATATGGTATCTTAGAGCTAATTGCTGCCAAAGGCACAGGCCTTAGACTCATTACCATGAGTGCCATTCCAGCTTTAGGAGAAGAATGTGAAAATACTTTAAATTCCCGTGAATTTAAGTTTTTTTATTATCATTTTACTGCAAAATAGGACCCAGTTAAGCGTTCAGAGTTCATTCAAGTCCCCATCAATCTGAAGTATGTCTTTTGCTTTAAGAGATATAATCTAGCTGCGCTCTCATCGTATCTATGGTGTCCTCCTCTTCTAAACTGGAGGCCCCCTTTCTGCATTCAAGTGATAATGGAGTAATGAGGTACACCTCTGTCCCTTCTCACCAGCACCAGAATTTAAACTGCAGACCAGGTTGGTTCTTCAAAATAAACATCTATTCCCATAAAACTATAGAAGACAGAAGAGCACAAAGCTAAATGATAAGCACAATAAAATAATAAAGTATAGGATGTAAAATAGGGAGTTCCTGACAATGATATCTACCTCACTTATTTTTACAGGTGACAAAATGGAGCCCAGAGAAGTTCAATGACTTGCCCAAAATAAGACACCTGGCGAATGAAAGAGAAAGGACTAGGACCTACATATCAGAAAAAGCATATGCATTTCGATTTTGTTACACATGAACACAAAAAGAAAATATCCCCTGGTTTATAAATGTGGGATTTACAGCTGAGTCTCTGTCGTATATTGGAAGAAACATGGAGCTGACAGTCAGAAGGACACTTGTTCTCATCTCTATTTACCCACTTAGTGAATGTGTGTCCCCAAACAAGGTACTTCATTTTTTCTGTTCACTTTCTCCTCCTAATGGAGAAGACAGTTACCCACATCAGAGTTATGAGTGATGAATAAATTAGGTAAAATACATAAGGGAGAAATCACAGAGCCAAGCACACTGCAGATGCTCAGAGTTCTCTGGCCTCCCTAGTAGGCAAAACAAAACAAGACAAAACAAAAAAGCATCCACCTGAAATCCTGCTATGGACCAGAGTGGGGCCTGCCTAAAAGAAGCCCTCCCTCTCAAAAAGACACTCCATATCCTCCAGGTGTGGAATCAGCATTTGTACTATCCTGAGAATGAGTGTCCCCTTAAACTGTGTGCTCTAGGAGCCTCACGTGCCTCACCTACCTCGCCTTCATCCTGGCCCTGGCTGAGAGGAACACTAATAATGATAATGGCTAAAATTACCTGAGCACTCACTATGTGCTAGTCATTAGGCCAAGACTGTTCCATGTGTTATCTATTTAATTCTTCCCTACCACCATGTGGAATAGGTAGTACTATTATGTTCTGTTTAGAGATAAAACAGAGACTTAGAATATTAAGTAACTTGTGCAAGTTCACACAATCAGTTATTGGCAAAGTTACGGTGATGGACTGTGTGTATTTAAAATCCATGTTACTAACAATTTGCAGACAGCATTACTTTGTTACGAAAATGAAGTTGAAAGAAGATAAGTGACTTGAATATAACTGCAACTCAGTGACCTGAATCTCAATGCAAATACCTCTCAAACAGACCGGCTCTTATGCTTTGTTGTCCTGTAGCATCTTGTCTTTCCAGGACTCAATGGGAAACCTCTAAAATTAATGTGGAGAATGAAACAACAGGAAAGGGCTGGATTATTTTCTTAGTGCGTCATCTGTATCATGCACATATGGTAACTAATGCAATGATCTTTTGTATTGATGATTGTGGGCTGAAATGTGCACGTTATGCTAAGACAACTAAGCAGGGAGTCACATGAATTAACTGGTTCCTGAGATGGTGTAGGGTTCAGGCAGAAGTATTGGTGTTGTTGGGGTGCCTGGGTGGCTCAGTCGTTAAGCGTCTGCCTTCGGCTCAGGTCATGGTCCCAGGGTCCTGGGATCGAGCCCCGCATCGGGCTCCCTGCTCCGTGGGAAGCCTGCTTCTCCCTCCCCCACTCCCCCTGCTTGTGTTCCCTCTCTCACTGTGTCTCTCTCTCTGTCAAATAAATAAAATCTTAAAAAAAAAAAAGAAGTATTGGTGTTGCAATTTGGGAAGGTGAAATAAGAAGAATGAACATAACATTTATATACTTTCTACTATACAGGATAAACATTATTATATTTCGTCTCCTGTATTCTTAATAACCACCATTCAAGGTAGCTAGAATTGTTGTCATTAAGCAGATGAAGACTATAAGATTCATAGGTTAAGTAACTTGCCCCTAGTCTCCAGGCTTGTGAGTGGCAGAGGAGGGACTCAAAACCTATACTGTACCTTAGGCCCAAGATCTTTCCAAATTAACTTGCAGCCTCCTAGGCTTTGAAGCTAATTATTCAGGGCACTGGAATTTACCTAGAGATGGTCAGGACAGTGAAGAATGCCCACCAGTGCATTTTCTTTTTTTTTTTTTTTTAAGATTTCATTTATTTATTTGAGAGAGAGAGGGAGAGAGAGCACGAGCAGGGGGAGCGGCAGAGGGAGGGGGAGAAGCAGGCTCCCTGCTGAGCAGGGAGCCGGATGCAGGACTCCATCCCAGGACCCCAGGATCATGACCTGAGCCTAAGGCAGATGCTTAACCAACTGAGCCACCCAGGCGCCCCCACCAGTGCATTTTTAAACACCTGCTGTATTGCCTTATAAATAAAAAAAAATTATAAATAATAATGGAGATAAATGGAAATTTATAAATACTAAGAGGCAGAAATCTCACAGAGGAATACTACTGGCAAAGCAAAAGGAATATAAAATTACATGTGTACCTGTATAATCTGTTGATATATTTAAGTTAATAAGTAATTAGCAAGGAAAAACATCTGGAAGGACACATAGCTTATTAGCAATAGTGATTTTATGGAGTAAAGGGTTGTGACATAAGAGACATAGAGGTTAAATTTTGCCTTCACATAATGTATTGCTATATTGTTTCATTTTATTTCAAGAAACACTTATTGATCTCATAATGTGAAAAATAATTGTATTGATACTTTCAACACAGAAAACAGCTGGTTTTAAACTGAATCAAAAAACTGATCGCGAAAAATATATGTATTGATATTGAAAGGTGCTCACAATATACTTTACAATGGGAAAATCTAATTATAAACTATACAGTAAGATCCTATTATTTAAAAATAAACCAATATATGTGTAAAGTATGTTAAAATCTATAACCCCAAATACTTACACACAAACATACACAACTCCTTTTTTTTGTTTTAATTACAGTTTGTTAACATACAGTGTTATATTAGTTTCAGGTATACAATATAGTGATTCAACAATTCCATAGAACACCCAGTGCTCACCACAAGTGCTCTCCTTAATACCCATCACCTATTTAACCCATTCCCCCACCCACCTCCCCTCTGGTAACCATCAGTTTGTTCTCTGTAATTAAGAGTCTGTTTCTCAATTTGCCTCTCTCTCTTTTTCTTTGCTCATTTGTTTTGTTTCTTAAATGCCAAATATGAATGAAGTCATATGGTATTTGTCTTTCTCTGACTGACTTATTTTGCTTAGCATTATAGTCTTTAGCTCCATCTGTGTCATTACAAATGGCGAGATTTCATTTTTTATGACTGAGTAATAGTCCATCATATATATATATATATATATGCCACTTCTTCATCCCTTCACCTATTGATGGACACTTGGGCTGCTTCCGTAATTTGGCTATTGTAAATAATTCTTCAATAAACATCAGTATGTTTG